CTTTATCCATTCATCTGTCAATGGACATCTTGGCTCTTTCCACAGTTTGGCTATTGTGGACATTGCTGCTATAAACATTGGGGTGCATGTGTGTGTACGTCTTAAAAGGTACATCAGCCCTAAGTCATGCACACAAGAGTGTAAATGATATACATTCACAGTTTAAATAACATTGACAAAACAAACACCAGTGTACCTGTTATCAGCCAGCTGAATGAAAACATAGCACATTAGAAGTACCCTAGAGCCCCCAGGGGACCCCTCCGTGCTCCCACTCCTCCTCCCACCTCCAGAGGTAGCCACTCTTCTGAATTTTGGGTTAATCATTCCCTTGGGGGTCTTTTAAAAAAACAGTTTTACTCTGTATGTATCGCTGTAAACTGTTGAGGTTTGCCTTTTTGAGCTCTGTTACACATTGGATCATACTATTTGTACTCTGTGACTTTTACTTTTTGCCAAACATTATGTTATTTATAATATATTATTCATTTTCTGCTGGTTGTATTACATTGCATGAATACGCCACCATATATTTGTCCCCTCTGCTGTTGGACATCTGGGTTTTTACTTGTCTGCTACTTCTCCTATTGTCCCATGCTGCAATGCGGATTACACAGCCTAAGGCGCAGGAGTCCCCGGCCCAGGAGGGGAATTGCTTGTCCCAGGGAACATCGCTATTGGCCAAAGTGGCTGCATCACTGGAGCAGGGGACAGTCCGTTCTGTGGCTCTCCAACCTTGCCATCAACTTGGTATTGAAAGACTTTCCAATTTTGGCTAATTTGGTGGGTTTGAAAGAATATCTTCTTGTGCTCATAATTGTCAATTCACTGCTTATTAATGAGATTCAGCATCTTTTCATATGTTTATGGATATTTATTATTCTGTGAGATGGTTGTCATGTCTTTTGCCCGTGTTTTTATTTTTATTTTTTTAATTTTATTTTTTGAGATTTTATTAATTTATTTGACAGAGAGAGAGAGACAGCGAGAGAGGGAACACAAGCAGGGGGAGTGGGAGAGGGAGAAGCAGGATTCCTGCGGAGCAGGGAGCCCGATGCAGGGCTCGATCCCAGGACCCTGGGATCATGACCTGAGCCCAAGGCAGACACCTAAAGACTGAGCCACCCAGGCGCCCCTTGCCCATGTTTTTATTGGGATGCTTGTCTTTTTCTTCTTAATTTGTAGGAGTTCTGTAAATAGACATGTTTCATTTGTCAGTTACAGAAATGGCAACACTCTTCACAGGCTGTGGTCTATCTTTTCACTCCCTTTCAGTGAATAGAAATTTTTACTTTAATATAATTGGATGTACCAGTCTTTCCCTTTATCATTTGTCTTTTTTAAATCTTGTTCAAGAAATCCTTTCCTATCTCCACGTAGCTCCACTAAAAATAAGAAAATCTGTACAAACAAAGATGGAACAATTTCTGGGATATAGAATTTAACGGAAGCAAAATGCAGAGTGGGATTATAATGTGCATCAGTTGCATACAGGCCAGGCGGTGTAAAATTCATTATGTGTTTATACAAACATAAGCTATATCTAGAAAGATAGAAAAAACGCTTACCTCAGTGGTTGCCTCTGGAGATGGGATCCAAGGGAGGAGGAGGGTGGGAAAGAGACTGACTTTTCACTAGAAACCCTTTTCTACTATTTCAATATTTCTCTGGGCTGTATATATCACCATTCAAAAACCAATTTAAATTTTTTTTAACTAAAGAGAAGTGTGCTCTGTCTTGGATGAGGCCAAGGAAGCTTGCTTGCTTGCTTCGCCTTTCACCTCTCTCAGCCATCCATTCCTGTGTGACTTATTTCCACAGCAAGCGAAGCTGGATGCCCAACTCCGGGACAAAGAATTTTATAGGGTCGTCCCCAGCTCCAAGCCCAGGCTGGAGGATGGATACCCCGCCTTCAGAAAACCCCACATGACCGCCAAAGACCTGGGACAGCCCGGCTTCTTCCCCGCGCAGGATCAGGACCGTGTGGCCGCAGCAGAGGGCGAGGGCAGGTTCACCAGTATAGGCCCTTCCGTGTACCCCGTTTCCCACGGCCTGTACCTGGCCCAGGGTGTCCCCAACCGGGTCCGCCAGAGCGCCGGCTTTCCGTGCCTCCTGGAGCCCGAGCTCCAGCCTGCGCCCGAGGAGGGCAAGGGCTACTTTCTGCTGCCTGGCTGCCTCTGTCCGTATCACCATGAAGTCAAGTTCCCCATCTTGAACCGATGGGGGCCCTTGATGCCATTTTACCAGTAGGAAGGGTGAGAGCGCCTTCAGGGGAGCCACGGACATCCCCCCTCTCCCAAGGAAGTTCGCGCTCGGCACTTGGAGAACGGACAGGAGGACTGAAAATAAAACCCTGGGAAGACGTTCCAGCAGCACTGCGGGTGTTCTACCTTGTTCCCTGGCCTGTCCCGGGGCCGCATCTGCACCCGCGCACCACCTGCCGAGGGGAGGGGCAGGGACGGCAGGGGGTAAGAGGGGAGGGGAGGGGAGGGGAGGGGGGGAGAAGAGAGGGAGGAAAACTGGTGTGTGTGGAGGCTGGAATGTGTGTGACGTCTCATGACAACGAAGAGTCCTGCTGGAAAGATTCTTGTTTTAGGCATTTATTTACAAAACGGGACAAATCTCATTTCCCATAGTTGTCTGAACGTTGAGGGTGACTGTAAAATGCTGTTGGGTAACCTTCCCTCAGACACTTAGTTTGCTCACCACGCCCACCCCGTAGCCCATTTCCAGGGCATCATTTTATACTTTCCTTCTTGCTCAGTGGAGCTTCTGTAACCATATCCACGTATGAGTGGGTTAGGAAGCAGGTAGAGCTGCCGAACTAGGAACTGAGGTGCAGTGGCTTGAACATCCTAGTTTCTCCCAGTCTAACAGTTCGGAGGTAGGCAGCCGAGGATGGTGGGGTGTCTCTGCTGTAGTTCCCATCTCTGCGTCCAAGGTGGCTGCCATAGATTCAACTGTGTCGCCCCCACCCCCCAGATTCATAGCTTGAAGCCCTAACCCCCAATGTGACTGTATTTGGAGACAGGGACTTCAGGGGGTAATTAAGGCCCAATGAGGTCATAAGGGTGGGAGCCTGTTCTGATAGGATTGGTGGTCTTCTAAATAGAGGAAGAGAAAGAGAGCTCTTTCTCTCCCTCTCTCTCAGCATGTACACACACACACACACACACACACACACACACACACAGGAACAGCCATGTGAGGCCACAGCGGGGAAGGCAGCCATCTGCAAGCTGGGAAGAGAAGTCTCACCAGAGACCAAACTCTGCCAGACCTTGATCGTGGACTTCCAGCCTCCACAACTGTGAGAAAATAAATTTCTGTTGTTGAAGCCCGCCGGCCTGTGGTATTTTGTTATGCTAGTCCAAGCTAAGAGAGTGACTCATTCAGTTATTGACATTTTCCTAGGAGCAGAAAGCAAGAAACGCCCAGAGGAATACAGGTGTATTCCCTTTCAGGGGCACAGACAGATATGATATTCTTCTTCGCTACCAGTCCTGTCCTCTTGGCCAGAGCTCAGCACATGGTCCCACCAAACTACAAGGAAGGCTGGGAAATTCACCTTGGTCCTGGGTGGCCCTGTGCCCAGCAAAAAATGAGAAGTTAGAAGAATAGAAGGAGAGGATTATTTGGATGGATGACTATTTTTGCCACAATACATGAGAAGGCTTTCCTGTTGGAATCATCCTATACACCATGCTTCCCTAGGGGATCTTGTTAAAATGCAGATTCTGAGTTGGTTGGTCTAGGCTGGGGGCAAGATTCTGCATTTCCAATAAGCTCCCAGGTGTGTGGTGCTGCTGGAAAGGAGACTGTACCTGAGTAATGAGGCTCTCTACACAATACTCTGCGTCTTCCTTTTCTCTTCGCAAGTCATTACTTATAGGTCTAATTATTTTTAATGGCTGCCTGGTATTCCATTGAATTGATAGATCTTGATTTATTCAACTATTTCCTTATTGGGGGGCAGTCATGCTTTTCCAATTTCCTTCCTACAAATTATGCAGCAATAACAATTCATGAGCATATATCCTTACAAATGATGCTTTTATTTCTGCAAGACAGAGTCTTTTTTTTTTTTTTTAAGATTATTTATTTATTTATTTATTTGACAGAGAGAGACACAGTGAGAGCAGGATCACAAGCAGGGGGAGAGGGAGGGAGAGAAATAGGCTTCCCGCGGAGCGGGGAGCCCGATGCGGGGCTCGATCCCAGGACCCTGGGATCATGACCTGAGCCGAAGGCAGACGCTTAACGACTGAGCCACCCAGGCGCCCCATCTGCAAGACAGAGTCTTACAAGTGCTGGCTTTGTGCTGGGTCAAACGGGGTGGATGCTTGGTGCTAATGGATACCACCCGAACAGCCCCCTTCCTCCTTCCCATCTCCTCACCAGCACAGAGATATTATCAATCTTTTTTTGATTTTTGCCAATTTCATGAATAGAAAATGGTATCTCATCTCGGCTTTAATGTGCAATTACTTGGCCACTAGTGAGATACAGGATCTATTTTATCTCATTAGCCATTGGGTTTCTGAGTCGCATCTTTTTTTTTTTTTTTAAGATTTTATTTATTTGTTTGACAGATAGAGACACAGTGGGAGAGGGAACACAAGCAGGGGGAGTGGGAGAGGGAGAAGCAGGCTTCCCGCCGAGCAGGGAGCCCGAAGCAGGGCTCGATCCCAGGACCCCGAGATCACGACCCGAGCCGAAGACAGACGCTCAACGACTGAGCCACCCAGGCACCCCTGAGTCACATCTTTTGCCCTGAATTATCTTTCTTCTTACCAATTTATAGGGTTTTTTTTTCACATGGCCATGTTAGCCCTTTATCTAAGACATGTTCCAAACATGTTCTGTCTTAACTTTTAAATATACAATTTAAAATATGTAATCTGAACATATTTTGTTCTAACATAAATTGCATACCTTCAGTAGAAAATGTTGCAAAGTGAAGAAGGTGTGAAGAAGGAAAAGAAATCACCTCAATCCCACTGCTCAGTCAAGAGACAGCTCCTGTTAACACTTTGATGCCCAGGCTGCCAGACAATGGTTAGATCCTTGGGCTGTTGAGCCAGACAAATCCGGGGTTCCACCCATGCCTCAGTTTACATCTTAGCAGCTGAGGGGTATTCTAGAAAGTTATTCCATGTCTCTGAACAGCAATGTCCTCATTAGTAGAAGCACTAATAACGCTCCTACCTTTTGAGTAAACACTGTTCTCACAGCATCTGAGATATAGTCAGTGTTCAGGGAGAATTTTTATAGGCGTTTTTACAGATCTCATACTGAAGATGTAATTTCAAATCCTGCTTGGTCTTTGTGGCATTAACTATAAGCATTGCCACTCAACCTCAAACTTTATAAATATCCTTGCACGAACATACCATAATTACTATTGTTAGACATTCAAGTTGTTTCCAATTATGTATTTTTCTCTTGCAAGTCAGGCTACAGAATAAACTTTTTTTCTATAATTAGGGAGAAAAAGAAGCAAAGTTACTGTGTCAAGGCGTATGGATATATTCTCAATGAGTATTACCAACTCGTTTTCTAAACAGGCGTTATCTTTAATATTAAGGAATCATTTCTTAGGTGTGATGATGGGATTTTGGTTATGTTAGAGACTTCATTTTGAAATACTTACAGGAGAGATGATGTCTGAAATTTACTTTAAAATGCTGTAGCAAAGGGCGGCCGAGGTGTTCAGGAAGTCATAACCCCCATCACAGGCTCACAAAGGCTGCTACTCGCCATGCTTAAGATCTGAAATGGGTCACAGAGACAAGTCTGGACGGCTCCATGGGAGCCAAGGGACACAGCAGGAAGGCTAGCTAGGGCCTGGGCCCCTTGCAGCAGAGCACAGGGAGGGACTGGCTCCAGCCATGAGGATGAGTGGAGACCCCAACACGCTGCACTTGAGACGCTGGCCACCCAGTCCCACAGAGAGGCCTCAAGGTCCTGAGCTGGGTCTGGGCAAGAGTCACTGAAGTCCAGAGAGCCCGCCTCAGAAATCTCTCTCTTTGACTGGGCCCTCCATCAGTCCCCGCCTCGGCCAGCTTGCTCTGTCGGCATCCAGGAGAACCCCCTGCAGGCCCTCCCCATATCTCCCCACCCTCCCCACCCCCCGCCCCAGGGATCAGAAGGCAGATGTGATTATTCCTCATCTCCTGCATAACCTGGCTCTCTGGCCCTCCACGTGAGCACGACCCTTCCGACCCGGGCTCCCCACGCCTTCCCCATTGCCCGCCTCTGGGCCTGTGCACTTGCTGTTTCTTTCTGTCCGCTAGAAAACCCTTTCGTCTGCTTTCCCCCAGCTGAATTACTGTCTTCTTGGAAAAGCCTGTCTGGACCATCCCCTGTCCCTAAGTTTGCCATTCCTGCGAGTTCCTAAGTTTGCCATTCCTGCGAGTTCCCAAGTTCTGTCATTCCTACATCTCTCCGAGGGGTGCTGTAAGGATTACAGGACCCAACACCTCGGGCCTGGCAGAGAAGCTCAATACTTCCTAGAACTTTTTCATTTTAATTTTTATTGTCTTTAAAATTGTTACGGTTGTATTTGTGTCAGAGAGTCTTTTATTTCTCTTTGTTGCTCCTGGAAGCTGGCGTAGAGTAGAGGCTCAATAAATATTGAAGAAATGAAGGGGGTAGGGCTTTCTAAGGGGAAGCACAGCAATGAGGTGGCCCAGGCCTGACCTCCAGGCATTTTCTATGGCAGCTCTCCTAGCTCTTACCCCGGCAGCTTCGGGCTCCCTGCAGGGTTGTGTGTCCACCTGGGGAAGCTCTCAGTACCCGGTGATGTCAGGTTACCTGAGTGACCTTCCTGAGGATGGCCCACAGCTTTGCCAACTGAATTCTACTCTTAACCAGATGGAGTCATCTTTGGGAAGACTGCCCGTCTGTGGGAACTCCAAATTGGGTTTGGGCCACCCCCTGTACATTTCTAGTCTCAACTCTGGCCTAGTGCAATAACTGTATTTATTTATTTATTT